GCAGGAAAGACCGAATGGGCTGAAAGGCATTCCTTACATTTGATATATTGTAGAATCTTTCTCATCAAGAGGATGTCTCAAAGAGCTTCACAGGGTTTATTGTAAAGTGTAGTGCCCATGCATTTTATAGGTGAAATAAAACAAAAAAATGCAATACTCAAGAGCAGAAATCTAAATTAAAACCCCAACAATTCCTTTCAAAAAGTATTGTTATTGGTATTATATTTCAGAAAATTGCAGGCCACTCGCAAATTTTAGTACCTCACAATGTAGAGACAGAGATTCAGTATACACTCATGGAAATAGGAGAGCTAATCAGATTGTGACTTCAATATTTAGTTACTGAATTACAAAATATGTAGATGGAGACCTGGTAATTAGAAAAGAACAAAGACATAATCAGAGGATACACATACAACCATTTAATTAGTTTGTATTTGGCCCTAACAATGACAGTTAACCTGCAAATATTACCCACCACGAATAGGTACAAAAGTGCTCTTTTATGGTACTGAGTCAGCTGCGTGAAGCACTTAAAGATGTCCTCCTGAAATGACATTGGGGCACTATTGCCTGTGCACAGTATTACAGTATGCTGCCCCTGGACATATGCCCAGAATCCCGTCTTTTTCATTTACCCAAACAGAATAATATCCATGTTGTAACCTGGATTATAAAATCCATTTGATGCTGACCAAAGTACAGTAAGGAATTAAAATATTTCATCACAATTTAGTGTTGTGCTTGATTATACAACCTCATATTAAATACGGCCTGCCACAAACAGCTGTTTTACAGCCAGAGTACCATTCAGTACCAGCTATACACATTCCCTTTTTGAGATGGCAGCCTGGATGATGACTTTCAGAATGACTGGACTCTGCATATAATAAAATGAATTTGAACCGATGCTGGTAAGGTTGTAAGACAGTATGGATTTTTTTTTGAGGGATTTAAAAGGCGATATTTGATTAATCTGCAGCACTCTTGCATGTTACTTGTTGTTTGGTGTATTTACAACTCTTGCGAGTGAACAATGAAAGTGAGCATGTGGGAACATACTGAATTAAAACTTCCATTGACAGAGACAAAAACATTAACATTAAATCATCAACCCCAAACATTGCCAGCCATGTGTAAGGGTAGATTATTTTTTTAAAAGCATATTATTTTCAATATAACTGCATTTTTTTCATAGGAGAGACATTATAGAAATTAAAAGCTGGAGAAATCACATGTGTTTTATATATTTTTATATCTTCAGTCACTTATCAGTGATTATCTCCATGGTTACCTATTCAATTAATGCCCAGTTTATACTGCTTGAAGTGAATCATTAACGCTCTAGCATAAAGTGGTTAGAAGCGGAAAACAGGATTTATATTTCGCTCTTCAAAATGTCATTGGTTGAGAAATGAGGAGAACTCTGTGCATACACATATCTACTAACCAGAGCGAATTGGTATTTTTAATGTCAATGTTTTTTTAAAAATGTTCTAGTTATCCCGCAATCTTTTCTACAATTACATTCAGATTGTCTCATTAAATGTTTTTAAGCAGTCTGTCGGTCCATCCAAAAATTCTCAAGAGACCTGCTTTGAGTGGAGCCTGAAACAATGTGTACTCTTGCGGTACCCTGTAGCATGAATCAATATAAAACAACCTGGAACAGATAGTGATGGAGCTATGAATTGTGGCAACATGAGCTTTCAGTAACGATGCACATTTTTAATATGGATTACTTCCCAGCTTTCTGCAAATAGATTACTGAATCCAAGCAACGCTGGGACTAAATACTGGTGAAATCCTTAACTATGTATTGGTGGAATATCTTCAGATTCCTACGTTTGTCAATATCAGATTGTAGACTTTATTGTACTAATTACAGACTTGTCTCCTTTGTAGCGAAGTCCAATCACACGCTTTCAATGCACTGCAATATAACACTCACAAAAGCAAAACTCCACAGTAAAGAGATAATCATATTCAGTAATAAAGTCACCCTTGTAACCAGTTTGCATATTCAGTTACACCCAACATGCAAATTGTTTTTGGTAACCAGAGTTTTGAGTGGAAATAAATAAAAAATGAACAAGAGGGAATACAGAAGGGCATTTAAAAATAAACAACAGTTTTCAAAGCTATGCTTTATTTTAATAAAATAAGCCTGTAATATCAAACTGTATTTTGTTTCCTCAAAGTGAAACATAAAAGAAAAAATAAAATTATTTAATGGAACCCATTCTGTATGGATTCTGACTTCGAATTCAAGATCCTCATCCTCACCTACAAGGCCATTCACGGCCTCGCTCCCTCCTACCTCTCTGACCCACTATCCCCCTACCTACCTGCCCGTACCCTCCGTTCCTCTGGCTCTGGTCTGCTCCACATCCCCCGCCCCAACCGCCCTACCATCGGTGGTCGGGCCTTCAGCCTCTCAGCCCCGAGGCTCTGGAACTCTATCCCCCAGTGCCTTCGCCGCTTCCTCCCTTTCCTCCTTCAAGGCCGGTCTCAAAACCTTTCTCTTTGACCGTGCCTTCAGCTCCCCTCTCGACTCTCTACCCCCTCCTCCCTCCCTCCCTCCCTTCCCTCCCCTCACCCTGACCATTTCCCCACTGCTCGGGTACTGACCCAACTGTACAGCGCCTTGGGACGTCCTCCCGGCGTGAAAGGCGCTCAATAAATGGAATCTTGTTGTTGTTGCTGTTGTTGTACTGTATACTTATGTTTATGTTACCCAAACCGGCCATTTTTAATCAGAATTGAATATAATACATATAATTACATTGATAATTTCCTGTCATTCATGACTCTTTCCAATAATGTACACACATCCTAAATATCTATATTGGTGATCTAATCACCCAACTATGAGCAACTGAGAGTTCATTATTGCTAAACTCCATTCAATTTTATGCTGTACTGTCACATCTGTTGTTTAGCAAGTAACTTAATCCGATATATACAAAACAAGCAAAATAATTTGTGCCTCAACTTAAAAAGGGTTCCTGCAATTTCATTTATTATCATGATTGGAAAGCAAATTAGAATATTTTCTCCCTGTGACAGTATGAGGGCATTCGATTTATGGTTATGCGATAGATCTGTGGCTTGATCTTTGACCCTTTCAATAACTGATTGCATCTCTTTATACATAGTTATTTTGTTTTTTCTAACTCAGCTTTTGAACAGCATAACTGTTGTGTTGTGCTGCTCCGTGTTGTGTTTTGAACCACCATTGTTTCAGAACTGTGGATTTATTTATTCAGTTAAAACAATATATTATCTAACATTTTCTATTAGTTATGTGCCACATTTAGTGGCAATGATGGCATAGCTCAGGGCATAAAGCACTGTGGAAAAAGAATTAAACTACTCCACAATTAAAATATCACTTTTGTCACTTTATCTACTTTCCTGTTTTATGGTATAACTGAAACAAATGATAAGGAGCAACAATTTATCATATGTATCACTTTTAGCAGTTAACACCACTCAGGACCCAAAAAGTCAGACGTGGGGAAACATCTCATCATATTCTGTATTCTCCAATGAATCGTTAAACAAGTTTTTGAAATGGTTGTTAACTTCCCTCAAGAACATGCTGCATGAAAAATCATAGCCAGAAATAACAGAAAACTTAACATTGCTGCTTCTTTAATCCTCTGCCTTCCATCCTTTATGTTGCTCCAGATGAAATAGCCTGGAACTGCTGTCATTTGGACACGTCTGCTGCGCAAACAGAAGCTGGAAAAATAAGTTTGATCTTCGCCTCCAGTTTTACTCAGTTACATCTTTTCAAGGCTGTTACATGCAATTCAAAGAAACATTGTGTTTATCAAAATTACACACGAATGCCTATATTAATCATTATTCACACCCATAATTTATTTCTGACACCAAACATTACACCTAGTAACCTTATCCATAATTCTGTATGATTTACAAACAGTATTACTCACACTGTATCCAAATATCCCAGATGACCCGCAGCCCAATTATACTGCCCAACCCACATCCTTATTTGCTCCATCTCACATCCTCCTGTATACCATATAACGCAGCGCCCCTCCTTCCTCTGCCTTCACACCCGTGCCAGCCCCTGGCTTCCCTGCCCCTCACACCTTCGAGTGGCTGAAGGCACAGTCGAAGCGGAAGGTCTTCAGACAGGACTTGAAGGAGGCAAGAGAGGGGGTGAGGGAGAGCGATTGCGGGATAGAGTTCCAGAGAGTGGGGGCAGAGATGCTGAATGCCCGGCCGCCAGTGGTGGGGTGGGAAGTGCGGAGGACCCGAAGCAGCCTGGTGTCCGCCGAGTGGGGGGAGCGGACAGGCCGATATGGGGTTAGGAGGTCCAGATACAGGGGAGAGCGAGACCCTCGGAGGGCTTTGACGGTGAGAGCGAGGGTTTTGAACTGGATTCTCTTGCGGGTGAGGAGCCGGCGAGGCCGGGCGAGGGCGAGGGCGAGGCCGGGCGAGGGCGAGGTCGGGCGAGGCCAGGCGAGGCCGGGCGAGGGCGAGGCCGGGCGAGGGCGAGGGGGGATCGGTTCGCGGAGCCTGGAGCGGGAGAGGACAGGAGCCGCGGAGTGCTGAATAAGGAGCAGCTGGCGGGAGGGGAAGGGGTGGGATCAGCCCCTCCCTCACACCTGGCTCGGGCGGCCCGGGAGGCGGTGGATGATTGGCAGCGACTGGTCGGTCGGTCAGTCAGTCAGTCAGTCAGTCAGGGCGGAGCCGCCTGGAAGCTCTGCACCAGCGCTGCCGCTGTCACTCACTGAGCAGCGGGTCAGGCGCTGCCAGGCAGGTGTGTGGGCACCTGAGTCACCAGCCCGGCAGCCTGGCAGCCTGGCAGGGCAGGGCAGCCCCGCCCGCCCGCGCCTGGCACCACCAGCACCAGCACAGCAGCAAACGCACTGCGTCCTTTAAGCAATGCATAGAATTCCTTCTCGACCTCCAGTTTGCTGAGAGAGAGAGAGAGAGAGAGACACACGTGTGTGTGTGTGTGTGTGTGTGTGTTCAGGGGAAGATTTTGACTCGGTTCCTTGTCGAGAAGCGCTGTCATTAACTGGAGCTGCGGGTGACAGGTAAGTTTCTGCAACACATTGTATTTCGAGCCGTGTTTAAACACATGCGATGGATCCGTATAATATCCCCATCGAACCCGTGCGCCCCAAATGGGAGGGGGAGAGGGAGGGAGGGAGGGGGGGAGAGAGAGAGGGGGAGAGGGAGGGCAATGCATGTACCGTCGCGGGGTTACAGCTGTGCCGTTTTTATGCAGAATTCAAAGCAATATTGCATTGCATTGCATTGCTTTCCATTCCTCGCTTGTAACTTCCCACATGGCCAACGCTCCCCCTCTTATAGCTCCTGCAAAGGAATTAGGCGAGAGGTGGGGGGTGGGTGAGGGGGGAGAGAGAGAGAGGGAAGGAGTGTTGCAGGAATTGTCTTGAAAACCAGAAGGATCTGATTTAATGCATCAACTCTGTTGGTAATAGGGTTAAGAGGCTGTGCTTGTCAGGGTTTTTTTTTCTCTGGTTTGCCAGAGGCAGCAACCAACAGCCAGGCACAGAAACCCTGTTGTTACAGTGAGGATCTGCTCAGAGCAAAACAGTTGAGAGAAGCCCCCCCCCCCCCCCCCCCCAAAAAAAAAAACCCTCGTTATTGACAATAACTGCATCTGAAACTCGATCTGAGTTGACAACATGAGCAATGAGATGAGGCTGTAAAAATCACACCGCCTTGGAGCAGAAGAGCGAAGGGCAAACGTGACTGGGGTGTGTTTCTTTTGTCAGGTCTGCCAAACTCCAAAGAGAATCAGGTAACCAGATTGTTGCCAGGGACATCGCTGCTGTTTTGCTGATCTTGCCGCACCTTTCGGGCACTGCAGGCTGTACAAAAGGGTTAGCTGCATCGCCTCAGGGCTTTTCTCCTTTCCTGGGAGCGTGACATGCTCACCTACACAACACCTGGCGACAAGTACCCATCTTAGCGTATTTCACATAGTGTAAATCGCCTGGAAGCCACACATTTCGGAAGGCCGGCGGTCGGATTTATTTGTAGCTCGGAAGTCCCGCTAAATGGCTTGCCTGAGAAGGATTTGATTAAATACATCAAATCGGTTGATAGGTTTAAGAGGCTGTGCTGCCAGGGTTTTTTTTTCCCCTGGTTCGCCAGGCAAGGACACCCATGCGCAGAAATCCTGTTGTTATAATGTGGGTCACTCAGAGGAAGACAGTTCAGAAGAGCAAAAATTGTTGTATTGACGACCGTAGAATGATTTTGAAACTTGTTCTGAATTCCCTAAAGGCTAACAAGAAAAACTGTGTTTCCTCACAAACAATCTCTGGAAAATGTTCCATCGTCCGATAGATAAAAGCGTGCAAATCACAAAAGGTGTTGTTGGATTTGTTAATGGAGTAATATTACAACACAACAAACAACCACTTGCACTGATATAGCGCCATTCACACAAGGTCACGTGCTTGGAAGGCTGAACTATGGTGTACACTTCGCTGCTGAACTGGGCAGAGAGTGGAGAGTGATCAAAGAGGAAAATCTTCGGTGCGAGCTGAAGATGGGTAAAGAGAGGAAAAGGCCGAGGGATTGAGGCAGGGAGTTCCAGAAGTTTGGGCATTGTGGCCGAAGGCTCGGCCACAGTTGGTGGAGCAGAGGATTGGGGGAAAGAGCAGAAGGCCTGAGTTGGCCGAGAGATGGGGCAAGTAGAGGCGTTGGGGATGTAGGAAGGTTATAGGATATGAAGTGATTTGTACCTGAGTGTGAGCATCTTGAGATCAACCTGTTCTGTTTGGAGCTTGGCAAGGACTGAGATGATGGAGTTCATGTGGAACTCCATCCTGAAACCCCTCCACCTCGCCCCCTCCCCTGCCTCCTTTAAGGCCCAACTCAAGACCTTCTTCTTTGACCGTGCATTTGGTCATCTTTCCTCCTCCATCCCCCTTGGCCTCGTTACCACTCTGATCCCATCCTGCAAAATAGGTGCAAAACTCTCATTGTCCAGCGCATTAGGATGTCCTCACAACGTGAAAGGTGCTACACAAATGTAATTTAAAATATAATAATAATAATCCTTGCATTTGAAATAGTGCTTTTCACGTCTTCTAGACATCTGAAAGCGCTTCACAGAATATACTGTAAAGTGAATTGACTGTATACTTGTGGGCAAAACGTAGCAGCCAACAGAACATAGCAGTGTCTCACAAGCAGTTGTGGATTGAAGTGAACAATTTATTATTCTTTTCTTGAGGGATTATTATCAGGTGTGTGGAGTAAGGAAACTTGCCCAAGGTTTTGCCCTGCTGGGAATCGAACCTAGGTCTCTCGCTTGCGAGGCGAGCACTGTAACTACAGAGCTACAGGACTCGCCAATTTGTTATTGTGTGGAGTTTGGTACAGGTGAGGCTATGGATCACAAAGTTTTCAATTAATTGGACTTTGTGAAAGGTGGAGTTGAGATTTGCGAGGAATGCATTGGAGAAATTGAGGCAAATATTAGAGGTGTGTGGCAAAAATGTCTGAGTTAAGGCAATATTATAATCTATTTTTTTGTTCTCTTTGTTTATTTGAAATTGAGGAACACTTTTCAACCATTTTAAGTAAGTGAAAAGTGGCTGAGCAGTAAGTTGCTTCTGTACATGTATGTGTAAAAAATGGGAAAACACGTCAGTTAACATACTGAAGTGGCTATGTGCATTGATATTGTTTTGAAACGTCTCGAAGATGTGATAAGGAGCTATATCAAATGCAAAGATTATTACTGTGTGACTCAGTACAGTACTTTGATATTGTACTACATGACTCAGTGAGCCTTGATATTGTACTGTGTGACTGAGTTTACATTGTTATTGTACCACGTGACTCAGTCTAGATTGATACAGTACCTCGTGACTCAGAATAGATTCACATTGTCCCACTTGACCGCTTTGTTATTCAACCATGTGAATCGTGAATTAATATTGTACCGTGTGTCTCTGTTCTTTGATATTATTCCACGTGACTCAATGCATTAATATTGCGCATGTGACTCAAGCTGCAGATATGTGTACTTTTATTTAAGCGAGTAAAACAGAAGGTTATATTTTGAAATTTAACAGTGCTATTTAAAGTAAGTTGAGAGAAAATGTTGCCGAGTGAGTGTCCTACTGACAGATTTTTCAGCTATTGAACGATTAACAATCAGTAATTCTCAATGTTAAAAAGGCTGTTAAAATGATACTTGATCCTAATTTTGAAATGAATATCAAAAGTGCCTGACTCATGATCAAAGTGCAATGTTTACTTAATTTGGATAGTTGATGGATAGAATATTCTCTACGTATTTTCACACTGCCAGCTGTTCTAGCTTTTGATTAGTAATTCTATAGACATAGTAAATCAATAGGTGAAATATAATAACTTTCCTTTTTGACCCTTTATAAATTCAAAACATAACAATATGGGTTTATTTTGTATATATACTCCTATATTTATCACCAGTGAACATTGAGGGTTGATATGATCTGTGGATTTTGAGTACAACAAATACAAGCATTTTAGATTTGCCTCCGGTAGCAAATCTATTTCTTATTGTAAACTAGCTATAATGTTTGTAAATTTGATGCTAGAAATTTGGAAGCAGTAGATATTTTAATAAAGCGATTTACAAAACAAGTCAATCTGCTTTTGAAGCAGAAACTCGGCCACTATTAGCTAAATCTGGAATGATGCATAACTTAAATGAAATCTCACCAAAATGTCAACATCTCTTGTGATGGGAAAGCTGGAGGCAGCATCTTTATTGGCTTGAGATACTAGTTGGGATCCAGTCCAGACTTCAGGGAATCACAACAAAGAGTACCAACCTCCACTGGCTGCTTCTATCATCTCTGCCCCAATGTATAATCTCTGGTAAAGCTTCATCTGTTCAAATTGATATGATGACCTTTGATGTTTAAAGCAGCTGTTCTGGTTGTACATGCTTTCTTCATTCCTCTCTTTCATTTGTCCTGTTTGATCTTGCCAAAAAAATGTGCCAATGAACATTGAAATCCTGTTTACTTATGTAATAAATCAAATCATTCCTTAGTATGAAAAGAGTAACATTTGGAACATAAGAATCCTAGTATATTAGTTTATTGCTAGTAAACTAATATATTAGTTTATTGCCACAGTTTTAATTATATCAGTAGAATATTGTATGAGGGATTTATCTTTTTAAAAAATGTGTATTTTAAGTCTTATCAAATCAACATATCCCAAAGTGGTTCACAAGTAACTATGGTCTCTTTCCATGGAAATTATTTTATTTTAAAGCTCTTGTCTGTTCAGTGGCTAAACATACTGCCTGGATTATTTAAAAATTCCTTTGATTTGGAACGTTAAGGCCCTATTTATAATAATAACCCTTCCAAAACAAATCAATAATAAATTGGTCATTTTCAATCCACGACTGTTTGTGGGACACTGCTGTGCGCAATTGGCTGCCGCGTATCGCCCACAAATATTCGGTCAATTCACTTTACAGCATATTCTGTGAAGCGCTTTGAAACGTTGAGAAGACGTGAAAAGCGCTATATCAAATGTAAGGATTATTATTATTATATTTACAAGAATTCAGTCTGCACCTGATCAAAAGAATTATAGTTGGAAACCTACATAAATCTTTTGAGGTCTCACAATGATCAAAGAAAACATAACAGCATGTTTTTTGACTAGGCTTCTGTCATTCAAGATTACTCAATAATATTTGGACTGTCAAAGATTGCTTGTGGGACCTTAAGGCCTGAAATTCAACAGAATCTTAGCCTTGAGCCTGTGGTCATAACAGTATTGGTAAATTCTACATTCTGTCTTAATTTTGAAGCTGACTTTCTGCAGTTCTGGCTCTGGTGTAAACGTACAGCTACTGTAAGTTTTCAAATTCAAGATCCTCATCCTCATCCTCACCTACAAGGCCATTCACGGCCTCGCTCCCTCCTACCTCTCCGACCTACTATCCCCCTACCTACCTGCCCATACCCTCCATTCCTCTGGCTCCGGTCTACTCCACATCCCCCGCCCCAACCGCCCTACCATCGGTGGCCGGGCCTTCAGCCTCTCAGCCCCGAGGCTCTGGAACTCTATCCCCCAGTGCCTTCGCCGCCTCCTCCATTTCCTCCTCCAAGGCCGGTCTCAAGACCCTCCCCTTTGACCATGCCTTCAGCTCCCCTCTCGACTCTCTACCCCCTCCTCGCTCCCTCCCTTCCCTCCCCCCTGACCATTTCCCCCCTGCTCGGGTCCTGACCCAACTGTACAGCGCCTTGGGACGTCCTCCCGACGTGAAAGGCACTCAATAAATGGAATCTTGTTGTTGTTGTTGTTGTATTTGAGCATCTCACTAATATTTGCCACAAACAAAACCCACTGTTTACCAACTTGTTCTCATGATTTATCAACACCCTCTTACAAGAATACAAGAAACCACTTATGGTTATATATTTTTAATGACTGTGTTCTTATAATTTATTGCGATCCTCAATCTTGACTAATTGATGTGCTGCCCTGCCATCACATTGCATAGGTCAAAGAATTAGTCACTAAGAAAAGTACTGTAGCTAGTAGCAAATTTGTTGCTCCATAATAACTAGTTCAATGAGGGTTGTTTTAGCTTATGACATACTCAAAATGTGTCAGTAATGCCCGTTCTATCTAGGAGGTCGTGTCGGGGCAAACAGAGTCATCTACTTGAATTGTAAACTCCTCTTCCCTGTCAAAACACATTTTCAAGATTTGTCCTCCACGCTTTCTTCTGTCAAGTCACAAAATTCAACTTCAGCAGAGATG